CCTGCTTGCAAGCAAACAGTCGCTGCTCAAGCCATCCTCCTTTTCTTCCACTACAAACAGGGAGCCCTTCTTCAGTTATTCAAACTGGGTTCCCATTTTAATTGATTCTGCTGCTATCCAGAACTTCCTCTTCCTACGTAACAATATTTGGACTCAACATGGAAACGCTCCATTTTTCAACTGTAACTTTTCAAAGCACTTGATCATATACAAGATGATTTACCTTTACTCTCTCCCCCTCTCCTTTCATCTTAAATGAATATTCTGTAAGTTTCCAGTTATGCAGGAGCAAGCTTACTTAATGTAACAAATTCAAGACTGTTTTATCCCATTCTGCGGCCTCAACCATAAAGTACCTCTCTTTTCTAGAGAAATGTCTCTAGATCACCTGCGCAATTTTTCCTTTTCTTAATTCCTGAACAGGAGGTCCCCATACCAATTCAAGAAGAGCTCCGACACCTCCAACAGCTGCCCTACATCACTCCTTACTGCAGGAGTGGCCTTACTACACAGCTCTAACTGAATTCAAATTCATCAACCTTTGTCTTGGAAAACATCAGCCATTCGATCCTCCTTATTCTGGTAGATTCTTTGAGAGATATTCCAGTGGGGGTGGGGGAAGACTCGTGAAATAACATTTTTCTGTTTATGGCACCAGTCAGGACAGTATCCTGGCAGTAAAACTAAAAGCCAGTATTGGAGTGGTGCATGGTATGTCACCTTGTTACTAAGACATCACCTACCTTTTGGATCCAAACAAATTTATACAGATTCCTGGATTATAAAAATACATGAAAACTGGCAGAGATTGTACCTCCAGGCAAACAGAGAGATCTTTCTGGCCACGTTTTGAACCCAACAGACGGTAACATAAATTAGCAGTTAGATATGGTCCCAAAACACCCATAACGACATATAAACCTCATGAGCAAAAGCCTGTTGTAGCCTTTGTAGCTCTCCGAACAGCAGCATCTACAGAAGGGATACGATGGACCGTCACAAATTCTTCGGACTTAAGAACTACTCATAAAGTTGGAAGACAGTGAACTTGTGATCTAAACAGGCAAGGGATACAATTTTAAATACCTGCAAATTTTTCTGAGCTTACAAGTTCAAGTTCCTTATACTGATTCCTGTCCCTTGCCCTTTACCCAAAGTTCTGTGGCTGAGTAAATCCCTTGCAAACAAAGGAAAGAGAAGTGCACATATAAAAGGGGTGTACCACAGAACAAGAAGTAAATCCTTGTTAAATAAAAAAAGAGGCATGCACAGGAACATTTTCTCCCCCATGACCAATCACATGTGGAGAATCACTGCAAAAAAAATTGTTGCCTTATGTATTACTTGTGAAAAACATGTTCTTCCAAAAGCTAGTAATCTATTTTTTGTAGAGTGCACCAACTGTTATTCAACCTCTTCACTACCCACTTGTTTGTCTTTTTTCCCCCATTATAAAAGGGATTTAGATTTTTAAAAATGTACTCATCTGTAAACTGCACGTCAAATTGACTAAATGACCCAAATAACTTACAAAAATAGATCTGATACCCAGTAGAGCGAGCAGGAGGTCTGGAACCTGCAATCAACCCTCCCCCTAAATGACTATCCACCTTGTGAATGTCTTTTTCTATGTAATGCCTTCCCCATAGTCTCAACAAAATGTTTGTTATCTTAACTACTATAAAATGTTAAAAACTGAAGATGCTGTAAATGCCTTTTTTTTTTTTTTAACCCATTGATAGTGATTAGATATTTAAAGGAATACACATTCTTAGAGGACAGGTAACACCCACTCTTGTAGGCAAGTGATGAGGATCATTTTGGGGCTGTCTTCTAACATGAGACGAAAACGTTACCTTTCATGGTTGACAGATAATACGTTGACTGACAAGGAATGACCAAACACAACTGTCAAAACTAGGCTTCACTGAACATACTTTTTGCTTTAATAATCTTTCATATTACCCTACCTTGGATAATAATTTCAGATTATTTAAGGCATTAAATACCGCCCAATATTTCTGTACTCAGTGATGAAATGTGGTTTTACTTAAGAACCAGCTGTAAACTAGAAGTTTGCAATTTCAAAACTTAGAAGCTCACTTCATCTCTGATATGCTGTGGCTTTCCAACTTGTCTAGTTGGCAAATGGTATTGATAAACACTGTTGTCAAAGGTCAAAATTGTAGCGTCCAAAGATACTAAAGGAGTGCAAAACTCTTTGCTTCAGCAAGCCATTTGTATACGCTTAAGCACCCAATGACTAAGCAGCTACCACCACCACTTCTGATGGCGATCACCTCCCTTTTTCCTTTGGAATTACATAAAACCTCCCTCTCCCTGAGCCTCTCACGACAGCTTGCGATGCCAGATACACACAAATTCCAGACTCGTGTCTACTGCACGTGGCTTCGCTCATGAACTGTAGAGAATTATTCAGACCTGATGCTCACACTGCGATCTGACATATCACATATATTCTCAGCCCTAAACACTCCAGAGGGCAATATCCTAATTTGTTAAACCACTCAAAAACTCTAAAAGTTCTACTGAATTATGGCTAAAAAAAGAAGAAAAAAAAAGTGTATTAAAAAGATTGAAATTTCAGAATCAAGCACTAGAAATCTAGGAAATAAAACATTTAAGAGTTGTCCACCCAAGTACATGGACTGCCTTAAATTACATACGTCATCCACTAGCTGTTTGTTATGGGGGTTGTTTTCTGTTTTGGTTTTTTAGGAATTCATACCTCAATCAATGCTCACAATGAACAATTCTGAGAATATAATCTAACTGTTTTTCCATTCTTCCGATTAGCATGTTCCCCAATGCCTTATTTAAAGATCTTTAATCAAATGCAGCACTTGAGAATGAATAATTACTTTGTGGGATTGTCTGAGGTACTTTTCACTACGGGGGGAAAAATAATAAATAATAAAAAAAAAAGAATCAATGCACTCCACTGATTTTGCTTTGTAATCTCTCTATGAAATGGACGCTACTAACGGAGGGAGGGAGACTGAAGTCAAACATATCCAGTGGTTTCAAGTGCCCAGTTTCAAGTTGTTTGGGTTTTTTGCCTTTATTTTTTTCCTCCCCAGATTACTTAACATTACATAATAGTCTGCATGTTCAAGTCACAGTCACATTCATGGGATACTTCACAAATGAAACATCCAGCTCCTAAAGCCTGACACCCAGTAATGTGGGAATAAACAACTGACAGCTGCTTCTTATCAGCTGGGGTTTAGATAGCATGCCATAACGTCCCACAGGAAGGCTTGTGACAGAGGCAGGGACAAAAGTCACTTCTGAGGCTGCATCCGACCCTGCAACTCATGCTTGTTGTAGCAATGGCCTTCTCTTCTTCCACCTCCATGATTAATATAAGTAAATAATGCTCTTCATTTGTAAGCAACACACTGAACAGAAACTAACATAACTTTGTAATGCTTTGACCCATTTTACCCAATCAAACATGAACCTGTATTGTGTTTTTTCCTTATGTCGACTAGTTTGATTAATAAAAGTAACCTCTCAAAGACAGAAACAGCTCTGTCTCTCCCTCAGGAGTCTGACAGACTCAGTGTTCTTCATACAAGATATATTATCCAGTACAATCTGCCTCTCCCAATAAAATTCCCTGCATTCAGTGGTAAAATCCTCTAGCTCCAAAGGAAATGGGATTTATCAAATCTGTGACTGTGGTTAAAAAAAAAGAAAGTCCTGTTGACATTTCCATGATTTCACCCCCTAGTCAAAAGAAGAAATGTTTCAGTGATACCTAACTACATTTTTCAATTTTATCATCAGAACAACTGCAAACTTTCTCTATCCAAACTGTTATAGGACACAACAGGACAAAAAAGTAGTCCAACTATACAGTTCAATCCTTCAGACTTCCCCTCTGAATCGTCCTGCAGTGCATGCTCCTAATATAAGAAACACAAAGTATCCCCTCTTTTAGCCAAGTATATTTATACAGTATCTGAAAAAAAATGGGAAAAATTGTAATACAAAACCTGGAATGGACTGAATAATTGAAAAAAACTGTGGTTATATTTACAAAAAACTCTCCGAAACCAGAATTTTATGTTTTACAAAACAAGTTTTCCCCAACACCACTTTCCTGCTAATCTCATTACCTGCAGTAAAAACTTTCTGAAATGTATCTTTTCCCCCAGCAAGTGATGAAACACCTCCTAACGAACTGGTTTGCTGGTGTTTTATTTTTTAAATTCACATTGCTTTCCGTTCATGGGCTGCAAACACAAGTAGGTCCAAATGAAACAAGCAAGCATTTTTCTCTAGTAATAGACTACTCGGTGAGCCGGGGCAGTTGACACAGCCTAAGGACTACAGCACACCAAAGCCTTAAAACTTTCCAAAACATTATCAGGTTTTGTTGCACCCTTCAGGGGCACATTCTTTCATGTATCTGCAAAACCAAAGTGGTATTTCAGCCTGCTGTGGGAAAAAGGGATGAAAGCACCACTGCTACCCTTGAAAACGCAGTAAAGTAAAATACGTAAGTCCAAATAGCCGATCCCTGTGCCAGGGCATACGAAGGCATCTATTTACCTTTTCCAACGCTGAGCCTGATGTCATGACTTCTCACTGCAGGGTTTCTCAGCAGCCACTGATATCGCATGCTGGAGACTTTCTTCCCTCCCCCCTTTCAGCACAAGACAGGTATAGATTTTCCTATCATTGCAACTTGACCTGATATGATAATGTAACTCTCTTCACCAAGACATAATTTGCTTACAGCTTTTCCCTGTCGTCAGTCATATTTTCACTTAACACTGAGAACTGTCAACTGCTTATTTCAGAATAGACAGCATGGCTGCAGGTTGCTAACAGCTTTGTGTTTTATCTACTTAAAAAAACCCTAGAAGCCAAAACAGGGCAAGAACACCCAAGTGCCATTTTTCACAGCACTCCCCACTACCCAAAACTTGTGCTGCTGACAACAAAACTTTGTTTCCATAATTTCTTACCTTTGTGATTAAAAATGCCCTCCATCTCCATACTACTGCGTGAGTGAGCGATGCAGAGGGACCCGCAGGGCACCAGGCCTTCTGCAGCTGGGGACCGATCTGTGGTTCGAACCAGACACCAGTCGGGCTTGTCATGGGGCCTCTCCAGGACCTCCACCGTCTGCCCACGGCGGATTGTCAGCTCATTACTGTTGCAGGCGGTGAAGTCATGGATTACCACCGTCAGCTCGCACCCACCAGACAACTGTGAGGGGAAAAACAAGAAGGAGAAGCCAGATGAATTCGCGTTATCAAACCACCCGTCACGCACCGTTACCTATTTAGGATTCCTGGCAGCATGTGTATTTTGGATGAGATAGCGCGCTTCTAGGACTTTCCACGTCAAGAAGAGAACGTTTCAAAATCAGGCAGTTCTGGCATTGTGGAACAGATTTTTAACTCTGCTTGTCTCTGCCTATGTTGAAAGCACACCGGTTGTGACAGTGCTGGGCGGAGGATTTAAGCGGTTTTTCTTGCTAGACTGCTCCTCACCCCAAAGTTGAAGTAGCAGTTGCTTCAGAAGATGTTTTATGGGCGATAATTTGCAACAAAAAGGCAAATATTACTAAATATAGTCACTCATACGCTTTGTTATCTTGCAAATTCAAGGCAGGAAAAGGGACATTTTTGAATGAGCTTGCTGCCCTATTCCCACTCCATTCAGTTTACTCTCTACATACTCAGGTCACCACACGATCTAGGCTACACCATACGGAATTATGTGAAGAACCTTATGCTTGTTTTTATAAGTGTACCAAATACTTAACTATTAGATTCAAAATCCACATGGGCTTACACCTTCCACATTTTTTCTGAATCCCCGAATAAAAACAGAAACTTGAATTAAAAGCATGCAAGATCAGGGTTTTCCTCCCCGTCTGTGAAAATCTTCATTAGAATTACTTTGCCTAAGCTTAAGTTTCCTCTCTTTGATTGTTTCATCTGCTTTGATGTGAAAAGAAAACTTTGCAAAGTTCCCAAGATAGCTCAGCGCCAGAGAACCCATCCAACTTAAGCAAACAGCCTGGGAATTCCTTCTCCTTCCACAGGGCAATGGCGTTCCAGGCTACTTCAGCTTTTTGTGTGTGTGAATATTCCTATAGCTTGGGCCCCTTCAGTGCAACATTCACATCAGATCTCAGCTAGCAGGCAACTGCTGTGAATTCAGTAATTCTGGAGCGAGCCAGTAAACTCCAGCTCAGCGACGTAAGCCTGCAGGGCTCTACACTGACAAAGGAGGACAAATGCCCTGTGAGAGTTCCAACTGCAGCAAATATAGAAGCACGTGCGACACCAACGTACTGCACGGCTCCTGCCACGTTATTTTTGACTATTACACTTCACTCTTACATGGCTGACAGCTCTATCTCATGAGCTTTAGGAAAAGGAGATAAGAGACCGCATTGTTACTTATTAGTTTTCATTACAAACGTGGAACTGAAGCACCACATAGAAACTTTTCTAGGACAACACTGTTATCCAGCAAGAATTTTAGAACAAATGAAAAAACCAGCAAACACCTGGTAAGACTCAAAGGTTATTTCCAACCTCTCCCTCAAGCCCGCAACAAGCGACGGGGCGTAACTCCTAGCAGATGGTCTGCAGTAACTCCCATGGTCTGTGCCTCATAATCTCACCAGCCACCCCTGCCTGTGCGTGCACACAAAGAAGAAAAAAGTTTTCCTGGAGGGGAGGATGTGTGTGTGCAGGGGCTGAGAAGGGCAGAAGAGCCTCATACATCTAGTGTTTAATGAACATAAATCAAGTTGAACCCATTTAGATGCAGGATAAAAATTAATCATGTTGCTTCTACTACATCTCTCTAGACAGACCCAATACCCAAATTACAGGGGTGGGGGTGTGTGTTACACCTTCAAAAGATACTACGTCCTCCCTCATTAAAAGGTTTCCTGTTCCCTTATACCTTCTCCATATTATATTAGTTGTCAGTCCATGCAGAACTATGCCAAAGGGGGAAAAAGTAAAGAGCTTTCCCTTGTTTTCTGGTATTGATTTATGTTACAGCCTTCATCAAACTCAGCAACAATTGAAACCATCTGTATGCCTGATGGGGACTAGCAAAAAAGCTGATGAAGTATGACTTCACGAGGTGTCCAATGCAGACCAAATTTTTCTCGGGAGAGCCCACATCCGTTGCCAGTCGGTGCATGCACCAAGACAGTAACAAGTTGACACTTTCCAGAAACTGCACCTAGTCTTTGTGTTTTCTCCTAAATACCTACAGGAGTATAGCTTTGGTGCTCTGCTTGCTTTCTTGACCCTTCACTTCCTACAAATAAGAGATGAGATTAAAATATACTTGGTGACCGGTGCAACGGCCACATGTTTTTTGCTTTAATATAGATGTTATTTCCTCTCCTTCCCCTAATAAAAATGAAAAACTGTAAGATCTCAGATTTTACATTCACTAAGTATTTTAAATAGTATTAAGATAAAGGAAAAAGCGAACAAAGGCTGTCGGTGGCTATGTCAGAAATTATTAAAGTACAAAAAAAATCCCAGGCTTTCAGACTCTGGGAATCAGATATGCTGGCTGATCAGTATCCCACTGAAATTCAATATTCCACCACACTTCCGTGCAGTGTGTAACGCAGTTCCCACACCCAACTGTTAGTTCTACATGATCCTTAAAGGTGCACAAATCCTGTTAGGTGCCACTTAGTGCAGGACTTCTCCACTGCTGCCTAACACACGGAAAACAACGGTGTTCTCTACCCAGCACACATCAGTGTCATCACAGAGCGCTGACCCCAAAAGCGTTTACCAGTTTTTCCCTCCTTTGGGGTAACAACCCTTCTTTCTCCGTACAACAGTTACGGTTAGGAAATGCTGCTTTCCTCTTTGTTTCACTGCTCCTTTTCTCTCCCTAACACGCTTTCTGAAAGCAGCTTCATCTTCCGCACTGATTAAATGCAGTTGGACAGCAAGGAGTGTCTGTGATTAAGCGCATTGCTCAACAGCTGCTGTTGGACAGCCTTGGCAGGGCTCTCCAGGCTAGCTGGAGGGAAGAGCAAGAGGCACAGCAGAACCGGGAGACCAACTTGAACTAAGGAGAAAAGAGTTACGAACCATCTAAATCCAAATTTAGGCTGAACAAGGGCTTTATATACTTTATCCATCCTCCTCAAGAAACCCTTTATGTAAACTGAATTAATCATGCATGATAAAAATAAATGAGGCTATGTCTGAAACGTGGAAACCGGAGAGACAGAGAGGAGATGAGAAACAAAAGCCAGACAGAAATAGAACCGCAGATTAAAAAAGGCGCAAGGTTTAATTAAACAGCTTATCATGGGACATAGTGTCTTGCTGTTGCTGAAATTAATGTTAACCATCTACGTTCATCTCTCTGGGGCCTTTTAATCAGTCGCTTACAGGGGGGAAAAAAACCCCCGTAACCCACTCACTGGCTGAACACGCTTCTGGCATCTGTTTGCAGAAGTCAGAGGCACCATACCCCAAGTTCATCTGCCAGCTCTACCTGGGAAGGCCACCACTGGCCAGTGTTCTGCCACATCCTATGGCCTTGACATCAGGCCATATAACCTCCTCTCAGGACTGCAAATTAAATTTACTGTCCCATGGTAATTCTACATTGAAGGGAAAGGCAAGAGACCAGCTAATAACATTTTTCAATTACTTCAAGCATGAAATAAATTCCCTTTTAAAAGGGAAACAAGGGCAGTGTGGGAAAAAAGAAATGGGACAGAACCCAAGTCCTGTCTCAAATAAAGAGTATTTTGCTCTAACCAGGTAGCTGCCCAGACTTGGTTTTTAACTCTGAAAAGAGGCATATACTGAGAGCCATGTCTCTCTTTTACTAGCATTTTGTCTGCTGATGGGAGCATTTTCTCTTCTGTGGTCTCAGCTGGCAGAACTAAATACTTGGTTGTCTCCTGCTGCTTCAGTCCTTTTTTTGTTTTCCAGAAGTGCTACACACAAGTTTAAAGAAGCATGACAATGAAATACAACTTCATATAGACAGCAGAACAAAGTGCTACCATCTGGGCACAAAAGACAATTTGTTAAGAAGAAAATACTGCTCCACTGACCACCCAGAGCAGCTAGGACAATTCCCACTGTTTAGAATAAGAACCTATGGACAACGCTTCTAAAAGCCTCTCATCTTCTAAGCTACCCAAATAGTAGTTCAGATTATTTCACATTTCTACTAGCTCACTTAATACAAGGATGAAAAGGTCTATCAGACCTACATTGCCTCCTTCACCCTTCCCATTTCATTTCCTATGCACTGGATCAAGTTCAAAAGATGACATCAAAATGCGATCAAGCTCTAAGGCTACGGACAGTTGAAAGGTGGAATGAATGGGCCAAGTGTCATGTCTTTGATTCATTAGCTACCAAAAATGCTGGCTACGCAGCTATAGAAGGTGAATGGAAGGAATGCTGCGAAAGGTGAAATATTTACTGAGAAGGGTACAGTAAGAGCACTCATTCAGAAAACTGAGATGCTTTGACAGAGTAGAAATGTCCATATCTAAAAAATGTATATTCCATTCTGAACTCCATTATACCTTTGCATATTGCAGGATGGGTCAGTGCTCTGGATGTATTTAGCATGTCTTGGAATATGAAGATACGCCCCATGGTATTAACAACAGGCTGGAAAGGGATCTTTAGTTACCCAGTCCACTTTCTCCCTCTAGAGCATGATCAACTACATCTATGTGAATCATGATTAACATTTACCCAAACTGTTCTCAAAGATCTCCAGTTATGGAGATTCCCCATCCTTCACCTCCACTCTGCTCTAGGGCTTCATATTTTCATACACATTAAAAAATTATGCTGCAGTATTTTATTAAAGATAAGTCCTTTGATCTCTGAAAATATGGGTAAAAGATTGGTCTGTAACTCTGTGTAGCAGCATCTCTGCACACTTGAAGACCTGAGGTTTTTCCTCCAGCATTTCTTCTTTAGACTCATCAGTCCCAAACTCTTTATCTTGCCTTTTAAGTGACGTTTGGTAGACACCTAATCATTCTTTTTTTCTTCTTTGCCCTGGAATTCTTTCAATGGCCCACTAACTTGCTAAAATTCTGTACTCAAAACTGGATGCTGTATCTAAAGAGGCTTCTGTGTCCTGCAGCTCAGCATCCTATTTCTAAAAGTCCACATAAAGCTGCTTCCACCCCACCTCTTCATAACTGCATCACACTTAAAATATTAAACAGCTTGCGAGCCTCTACAGCATCTTCTCAAAAACTGTTCAATGCTCCCACTGTTTTAATTAGTAGTTAACTATTTCTACCTATTCACATTATTTCAAATGTGTTCCTATTAAATTGCATGGTATTTTGCAAATTAATTCCTCCCATTTGCCAAGATGATTTTGAATTCTAATTCCGCTCTCCAATACAGTTTTCAGATGACACAAAGCTGGGAAGGATGCCAGCTTTATAAACATACAGTCTATTGCACCATCCCAGTCATTACTGAAAAGCAACGTGCAACGGTGAAGTCAACAATCAAAAGTTACAAGTCCAGCCCAAAAAGCCAGGAATTGTCTGTCATTAAGACATTTCCAATGATGTCAGAAAACAGGATGCAAGGAAGGAAGCTCATCTGGACAATACTCAATCACTTACTACTAAGGCTAATGACTATTAGCTCTTTCAAAGTGTATCTCTGAGAAGCTGAGAAAGAGTACTGGGTTCTGGATAAAGGATTTAATTCTTAATATTGTCCCTGTATAACAGCTTAGCACTTCTAACCAAAACATTTACTTTAAAAGAACCAACTGTGTGAACATACACTTTGAGAAAATAAAAATGGTTTTACTTGGCTGTTGATTAGCATGATGTTTGTTATTTGTTGTATTTTCTTAACCACAATAATGTATATGCATGAACAGAAAAACGTCCAGAAGCTCATAATAAGTGATGCAGCGCTAAACATTTTTAACATTTTCAATTACTTGATATTTTAAATGTTTCTGTTAGGAATCCCAGCTGTGTTTGAGGCGTGCTTCAAATTTGACCAAGGAGCTCCACTGCTCCATCTGGCTAAGCACATCAACAGCACTTAAAATCCCTAAAACTCCATCTCTAAGACATTCATACGTATTTCAAGTTTCTAGGCCGGGAAGACAGAGTCCATTTTAAACCCCAAATAGACTGTAGCTAATGAACTTTCAGCATACAAAGTGAGAGATTACTTCAGATTCAGAAAGACTGTTAATATCTCCTACAGATTTGACTGGCGTTCTGCCCGTTATTGTTCCTTAATAACTTTTATTTTGTATTTTTAAACAGATGAAGTCTTTTCTCCTCTTAATGTATTTAACAAATCAAAATGTATAATGCGAACATTTTAAAAAGCTATTCTGCTAATTCACACACATTTTAAAAATGCACAAATGGTAAATTTCTTCCTTGGACATACAATGCATAGCACAAATAACTTGGAGGGAGTGTCCCAATTTTCAGTTTGTTTTTCTTGTCAAAGTCTTAATAAAACTTTATACACCAACACTGAGAACGAAAAATTACTTTAAAAACAACACTAGAACCAGCAGTTGGACCAATCTGGAGCTCTAACTCACACAAAGGGATGAATAATTTGCTCTCAGAACAGAGCAACACCTGGGAAACTTACCTTATCGCTGTCTAGTGTGTTCTGTGAGGTTCGTGAGGCAATTGAAATAGTGTCAGGCTGGCTGCTACCATCTCCCTGACTGTCCAGGTCCTCACCGTCTCTGCAAATAATACAGTTTTCATTACAGCGTTACCACCATGTTAGTAATGTCCTAGTTCCCCACTGGCAACTCTAAAGAAGGGGCGCCTAGACAGCGTAGCAACGAACATCAGCCAGCCAAACTATCTGATGCAAAAAAATCAAATACTACTTTGTTTTACACTTTGAGACAACAGATTCTTTGGCTCAAGGTCTACATCATGTAGAATTAAGGCAACAACCAATCAGACTGAACTGTGGCAAGAAACTTGCACAGCAACTTACCCAAAGCTAGCAAACAGACTACTCAGTCACATATTTTAAGCTTCATGAAAGGAAAGCAAGGACCTGATTAACACATGCAGAATTGCAAAAATCTAAAAATCTACAGCGATCTTGTACTGCACTTCCAAATCATAGAATCGTAGAATGGTTTGGGTTGGAAGGGACCTTAAAGATCATCTAGTTCCAACCCCCTGCCATGGGCAGGGACACCCTCCACTAGACCAGGTTGCTCAAAGCCTCATCCAGCCTGGCCTTGGACACTTCCAGGGATGGGGCATCCACAGCTTCTCTGGGCAACCTGTTCCAGGGCCTCACCACCCTCTCCAGGAAGAACTTCTTCCTGATATCTAATCTAAACTTCCCCACTTTCAATTTAAACCAGTTACCCCTTGTTCTGTCGCTACAGGCCCTTGTAAAAAGTCCCCTCTCAGCTTCCTTGTAGGCCCCCTTCAAGGAATCCCTCTTGTAATGGCTGAATGTACACACTGGGGACTATTCAGAGCAAAAATCTCAACCAAGTGAGCATTGCAGGAAACTGGAAACTAATTACAAGATAAAGCTGGCCACAATGAATCTTGGTTTTGTCCTATTCAACAAGTCATTAGAAATTCAGCACTACAGAGTAGAGAGTGCTGCTATGTACTTAGAGATCTCTGATTATTTTAAATACTACTTACCTTCTTCCTTTTTGTTTTGTTGTTGGTGCAGTTTTGGGGATGTGGATTGGCTCTTTCAATGCTCCTTTCAGATGAATGGTCCTTTCTTGTATCACTTCCCGGATGTGTTTGATCCAGTCCTGCTTATTCTCTATACTGGATGCCTTTGATATGCAAAAGAAACAAAACCCACACAATAGACGATTACAGCTGAGAAGATCCACAAATACAGTTAGCTAATAAGCACAAAGAGGAAGGCATAAAGAGTGACACTGTGAATAATTTTTGAAAAACTGAACAGAGAAAAGGAAATTCAAGGTAGTCGTCTTCATTTTGAATCGTCAATACTATTTTGCACTTCTCAACATTATTCATCCGGTTCATTTAAAAACCATTTCATTTTACATTCAGATTTCTCTTTCATACCTTGAAGGCTAAAGCCCTGTATGCATCTCATGTGAGACAGGGTAGATTGACTTACTTAAAGAATTCCAGTAATAACATGTGAACATTGGTATTTGGACTAGATGACCTTTAGAGGTTCCTTCCAACCCAAATTACTACATGATTCTATGCTACGATTTGTCTGTGTCATCTCAGTTGCCCTGTCAGCTAGTGGCTGAAATCTTCAAGGTATAGAAGTCCAAGGGATGAAACCTCTTCCTAGTCCGAGTCATGAAATTCTTCAGCAGACCATACAGATTCCTCTCTGCTGTCAAGCCATTGAGTTACATACATCACCTCTTTGACACACAAAGGAAAATTATCTGTCAGCAGCTGTCCCTCTCAAAGCAGGAAAAGTCATAACTTGCTGCCTTCCCAGCAAGTATGAACAACAGCTACGAGACTCAGTATAGACTGTACAAGCACATCTGCTAAAATTACCTTGAGAACAATTTTGTTGTCTGAAGTTGGTGTCCTTCCAACCCATAAAGCAAACTTGCAGGGATCTCCCTCTACATGTTCTGTGACACCCAGTTCAGAAGTCTGGAATCAAGAAAACTTTGTTAGGACAACATAGCATTTTTTCTCAGAAGCCACAAAAGGGTGCCGATATTGTAAATAATTGAGCTCTGCTATTTAAAAGACATTTTTAGAAGCTCAAGTCTAACTCTAATGCTAGAGAGAATCCTTTATCCTCGTGGGAATGGTGCGATTTCTTCAAAAAAGGAAGAACTGCAAGCTACACACTTTTTCCTGTAAAATAACAATAAAAAATAGCATTTATAATATGAAATACAACATTACTTGTTTTAAATTTTTGACTTGACAATAAAAGCCTAATAATTCTAAAAAAAGGTGCTTGGTAAAAAGTAAGTGTTGGCTTCTGTCCTTGTTGATTTCCACCAGGGAACACTCACTGCTTATTGATTTTTATGTTTTCTCTCAGTTAAGATATGCTTAAGAATTCTCTCATCTTCAAAAACCGCTGATCTCTATTCTGCCAAGACAGCCTTTCTTAGTGTGTTTCCTTCCTTCTCAAACAGATGAAATAATTCAGAAATGTATTTTCCCTGGAGAATTTTGTGGGACAGCTACATTAACAATCAGTCTTTGGGAATGTTCTAATCTCAGACCTTAGTAGCTAATTATCATCCAAAATGTTTTCACTTTCCAACTGGAACAACATCTCAATCATGTGAATTGGCTTCCAATTGAACAATTCATATAAGCTCTGCTCCAAAAAAAATGACAGACTAAGAAACATAGCTCCAACTACAAGAATCCTCTCTCCAAAAGACAGCTGCTAAGCATTCTTAAGATTATTAGAAGCTGTATTTTCCTCTCATATGCATAATCACTAGCACATTCAGAGCTCATTACATGTCATGTTGAACACACAGTACCTGCGTAAAGGTCATTTTTTTCTTTTCTGACTCAAATGCTAACTTGTTTTGCTGTTTGTTTCCCCTTCCCCCCAAAAAACCTCAACTCAACGCATTGACCCTTTCAGCTTTGTTGTCTTTTCTCGGTAAAATGGACTCTTCATCACTGAAGTACTTAAAAGTCTCTTATGTTTTTTAAACTTGACTCACCCACAACTCCTGTATGTGTTAAAAAGCTTGTAAAATACCTCATGCAATATTACATTATGTAACTCAAAGAAAATATACCCTCCACACTGCCCAATGTAAAGTCTGAATTGGCAAGATAGTCCAGTTTTTAATGCTGTTTATTTTTTAAAGCCTAATAAATTTAGAAGCCCTGCTACACCTGTGAATATTATTAAATTTACAAGGGACAACTGAGGGACAAAGCAGTAGAGTAGTGGCAAAGCCAACATATGATGTGCACTGTCCATTTCAATACTGGTGGGCATCAAGTGAAACCAGTGGGAGGGAGCCAAGTTTAAAACCCAACACATGGAGGTTGGCCTGTGCCCAGTATGTAGTTAAGCAATACGACTCTTGGCCAACAGACACGGTAAATGTTAAGTTTGTGTGATGTCCAAGGACAAGCTCACGGAAGAGAAATCCGTTGCAGGTTACTGAATTCATAGAAATCTCATTCAGATGAGGAAGCCCCTGAACTGCCAAGTTACTGGTGACTGGGGGAGTTTTCTGGCAAAGTAACACCTGCTTGCCTTGTTTCCATAGCCCTCCCCAGGCATTTGCTTTTGGACGCTTCACCTCTTGCCAAGGGAGTTCATTAACACATTTGTCAGCTAACACAAGTCAGACAGTTGAGTATCCTGTGCTGGAGAAACCATGGTGGCCATCACACCCAAAGTAAAGAGAAGGACCTCAATTTTCTAACACCTCCTTCCAGAGGCAGGAGACAGGATAACGTGCAGAAAACATGTTCAGCTCACATCAAAACGCATACTTTCAACATCTGTATGAATGCCTTTTCTAAAGATCAGACTATGAGAACTGCTATAAGAGTAAGCTGCACTACAGGACATTCTGCCAGCTAGAAAACATTAAAAAATATATGCTTATATTTTAAAAATGAAGCACAGGGAGAGTCTTCAAGATTTCCAGCTTAGGACCCAAGGCTATTATTAAATTCTTGCCAGAGGCATTGACATGACAGGCTTACAGGACCCATTTTTCAGCTGTCTCTCTTCCCATGTAATGCCTTGGCAGCTGATGTTACTCTCCAGTACACCAGATTTTGCATTTCAAGTTCTTGAGAGCACCAAAGGAAGGTGTGATCAACAGAAAAGCTGCAGCTGTGTTACCTGTTAGCTACCTCATATCAGGAAGGAGAGCAAGTGTTGGAAGTGAAGTGACAGAGTATGTAAAGTAAGATTATGGAAAACAGAAGGGTTTTTTTGAACCAACCTGCTTTACCAGTTTGGACACACAGGTGGGAAGGGGGAAAGAACTAAAGAAAAGGAGCTGAAGAAGGGAGAAAAGGTTCAGTTATTTATGCTAGACTCAGTCATATATCCCAGTAGGATAAATAGAAGAATAATGTCTTTTAGAGAACGATTCTGAGAAATAATTTCAAGTGCTTCTTCTCAATTGTCTAGCAGAAACGGTAATCCTGCCTCCAACAGATGCAGAGCAAGCCATGGCAGACTGTCGTCTTCTCATCTGGCTACCTAAATTTATAGAGTGTGAATACTGCTCTCACCCAAGTGAGCCAGGAAGGGAAGGATATGAATTCCAGGGTCACATTCTGTAAAGCATACATGCTACAGATGAGCAAAGCAAGAGGGGATCTTCCTTCTGTGTTGTTTTTGTTTGTTTCTTTGGGTTGGTTTTTTTTGGGGTTTTGGTTTTGGGAGGTTTTTTATGGGGAGAAAAACATGTCCATCTTTACATCCTTTCAGTAAACCGTAAGAGCTATAATTTTATTTACAAAATATTATTGTAAGTCTACTAGTCCCAGTAGACATTATGTAATGAACTTTTCCATAACAAGGAGTTCTTGCCTTTCCAGATCAGTATCTGTAGAATATCCACCAAAATGGATCCTTAACCCGGATATTACTACAACAGCAATTGTAAACAAGCAAGATGAAGGCAGCTTGTCAACCCCTTCTATCCTTCTGCTTTACATAAATAAATCAGTCTTAAAGAATGAACAATCACACACACAAGTAACACAGAATCAGTCCAGCCCGATCTTGATTTTCCTTTGTCTTGACACATCACGCCTGACATGCAGCCTTCAGCAACTGCTTTCAGCCTACTCTTTCTCCTCAAAAGCATGACAAAGCAGCAAACTTATAAGACTTACTCTACAAATTCCAAGGCTGTTCTTTCAGTGCACTATAATAGTTGTTCAAGTTCTTCAGGCAAATTTAAAACACCTGATCTTAGTCACAGTCTAATCTAGACAGTTTTTTAAATATGATCACTTGTTCTCCCATACTTACAAACAGTTTACTCTTGTAAATGTACTTGCTCCTTCCACTGGAGTCCTTTACTTCTTTACTGAAAACCAAGGACATCTCAAAAAGGAAAAGGTGCCTCTCTCTTCCCTTTCGAATTAGAGTTTTGGGGTCCCACACTTGGAAGGATTCTTGAAGGATGAGCTCTCCCTGAGATTCTATATTTTCATCAAAGCCTAAACACACAGGGAGAAGAAAGGTTCACCATGAAAAGTTGATAATATATGAGGAAATTAAAAAGCACAGTTTCTGTTTATTACCGATCTGATTTCCCGCCCGGCCCCCCCCTCCAAATAAAGCCCACAAAAGATGGGATTCCAAGGAAGCAATACTAAAACCAAGACTTTATTTCCAGATTGCAATATTCTAAATGTAACTGTAGCTCAAGTCTACATCTAAATTTAGAGATCCAACTGTTAAGAAGTTTATCAACTCATCTGCCAGTATTTCACCAACAAATGACAGATCTCTATGTCAGCTTCTGGTAACCTCTGCTGTGATGAAAATGATTTCTCTTTAAAGCTTTCTGCCACTATAGAAAGTGAGCAACACGCAAGGACGCAGAGAGGACATCAGACTTTCTGACATCGGCAAATTCCCAAATGTCACCTTTTCTGGTGGTACACCTACCGTGTATGCAATGAGCACGCAAACACATTGCAATAAGGGATGGAAAAGAGGTGGCAGCTTGGAGCTGTTGCCATGTGATCAGCTTGCCATTGAGTCCCTTCAACACTGATCCACAATAAAGAAATGGCAACTGAATTACTTATCTTGACACATAACAAAAAGATGAAGATTGAGAATATCAACAATTTTACTTCCATTGTAGTGGTACAGTGTTCTCTCAGTTCAATACACAGCTTTAGAGTTGCTGAATAACATAAATTAGTCTACCATCCTCTTCTGAGTGGTATTAAACTGTGTTTTGAATACATACTGCTTGCCGGTATTCTCTGAAGAGCGCCATCCTTCTCGAGAAAACAACAGTTCTCACTGTTCTAACAGGGCAACAGTTGGAGAACATCAGAGGCAAGCTGCGTCAGGATGTTAATTCAAAATCCTCCAGAGACACAAGGAGGAAATGTGCTCATTCATTAAATTTGTCTGTCATGGGATGACCCAATGATACATACATGATTTGTTATAAAAGCAGCTTATGTAAAAGATCAGGGTATTCTCCAGTGTCACATTCGCAGTGTTAAAAAGATTGCCAACGATGCTGGTCAGCATTTATACTGACACCAGCTCCTGAACAAAGTATTCGGAACTGATCCTGCAAACTGACCAACATTGCTATTGTTTAAAATCAGGGAAGAAAGACTTTTTTTTGAGCATTCACATGACCGAGGATCACATGTCAAACCTATATGAGTTTTATAGTAACCTGCACACTACAAATTCCATGACAAGCTCCATTTTACTACTAGAAGGCAGAGAGAAGAAGAAGGTATATTGACTAAAAGCATCTGTAAGTCTTTATGTAGCAGCTTCAAGGCAAGGCGGCTCTGCTTTTATCTCAAAAAATGTAAATGCCAGAGAAAAACACCTTTATTACTGAATGTATGATGGCACCATCATACATGATCATGTGCCAATTACAAAACAGATTTTGGCAGAAGATTGTTCTAAGCACATCGAAGCAATTACATCTAAGCTCCACTGTCTGCCATGAACATGATTATGCTCTTCTGGCTAAGGTTCAGGCTAAATTGGCTTATGCTGACATTTTACTGCCAGTATAGACATTTCATTTCAACCAGAAGTCTGTTATGGAACAGGCAGCAAACAGATGTGAAAATGACAAACTTCTTGGAAACAATTATTTGATACATAAATCAGCAAAATCACCTCTAATGCACTTAACGCTCTTCATCTAAAGAAACCAAGGATACTGGTTGGAAAATGTAGCTGGAGCTATTGTATCTGACCATTCACATTACATTTTAGATGAGTAGTGGAAAACTTTGTTAGCCTATATATTTTTCAAACCTGCAACAGCAGAGCTATAGATCAGGATGAAAGAACATTAAGAAAATTAACCAACCTGTACCAGTTTTCTGTCACATTTCATTTTCCTAAATAAGCTTGCATTTTATATACCTCCAGATAAAAGGCATATTAAATACAGACCCAGAGATAAGAAAATGTTCATATTCTTCAGATCCTCTCAAAATAGAGCAATACAAAATTTATTAATCTACAACATACGACTGAATCAAAAAGCCAGTTTGAATCCTACCTTCCAGCATGCTGAGGTGCATGGCATCATTGGCTCGCTTTGGCACACTAAGCATCACCTCCAGGCCATCCTTAATCTCACCCTTACCTTCTTCACAGCACGTGAGCAGCTCCTGCAGAAGACAAGCAGACTGAGTACTCTCCATCATGTGCTTCTACACTAATATCATAGTGCAGAATACCAAATACTACTTCTAACAAGAAAAGAATTATTTTGGCACTTAAAATCTTTTTGAACTTCTTACTCCACTGTATTTATCATGATTTGTTCTTCAAGAAGCTGCCCAAGCTTTCAGTTAACGACCTCTAATTTAAACAAGATCATCTGCTTAATAAGAAACCTTGAAAAGTTACATTAGGGACAATGATGTCTGATAAGCAGTCACACAGCTCTCAGATGCAGTGCTACATCAACATCCCGAACAATGCCGCTGCCAAGCCATGAAGATGGTGGAAAGCAGGACAGCATAAACGGACCACCTCCCCATGTCAATCTTCGCTCCACCGACCCAACCTGCTCTGTACTAATGCTAGTAAAGGGGATTCACACTGTTTCATTTCCTTATGCAATGAATTACTCTATTCGGTGTTCACACAGCTGAAAGCATCCTACAGACAAAACTTCTGAATACAAACAAGCATTAACTAAGGGACAGAAGTTAGAGAAGGGAATATGCTGAAACATTGTCCCAGTGGAATTCAGGGCGATGCAGTTCCCTGCCCATTCAACATCCCACAGATATTAACATAACAGTGTCCGAGTCGATATTCAAGTTTCCTCACATCCTTTAAGCATTTGAACAGTATCAAGATAAAACATAGCTTACGTAACCGAAAGGACATATTATGTTCCTCCTATTGTTCAAAAGGCCCTCTCAATTTGTTCCCTCAGGTTAAATTCCCTTTTTAAAGGGAAAGACAGGTGACTCCTACTATTATCATCATTATGCTCTTTTTATTTATCTGCCAATACCACCATCACAGAAGCTTCGGGCTCTCCATCTGTACATGTTTTATGCCTCTCTTCTTATATGAAAGGGGAGAAAAAAAAAGGAAAAAACCCAGCAACCACCACATATGTCCATTTTACTATGCAGCAAAGACACCTGGATCCTCAAAGCCTGCATTGTTTTTCAGAAATTTTAAAAGCAATCATCCACAGCAGTTCTCAAATAGAAAGAGGAGACACAGATCAGTTACAGGGCTTTAGTAGGCAGCTATTAGAAAACAAGCAACGCCACCTAACAGACACCCAGCACCGTTCAAGAATACTCCTGCTCGGTCAACCAGGCATCTGCCTGCTGGCTGAAAAGCTCTAACTACACACTTCCAAAAGTTTTGCTTATTTTAACAGCTACTACTTACTTGACATTTCAAGGAAACGGTACAAGTAAGAACTGTTTGTGCAACAGTTCTACAGGTACTCAGTGTGTGTGTATATACACATACATATTCATATACTTCACAGCTATTTTATATTATAGTTATATATATGCAAATAAATAAAAATTTATATATTTTACAGTACTTAACGCCCTAAACATAGCTAATGGCTTGCCAAAATTTGCTACAGAAACCATTACAAAGATGTGCCTGTCTAGATGTCCACGAATTACTTTTTTACTCTGGAAATGCAAATTATATTTTCTAAGTAAACATAAGTAGAGATGTATCTTTTTTGATTTACAGGAATCTGAACAAAACGTTGCTTATTTATACCTTCCTTCACTTTTAGTGGCCTCCTAAAAATATGGCAG